GATGAGAATGTGATTGGACTGTAAGTTGTTTTTTTTTTTTTAACCCAATAACTTGGTCTCTTTAGGCTGCCGTAACAAAGGACCAGACACTAGGTGGCTTTAAACGAAAGAAGTCTATTTCTCACAGTCTGGAGGCCAGAAGTCTAAGATCCAGGTGCCAGCATGATCAGTTTTTAGCAAGGGTCCTCCTCTGGGTTGCAGATAGCCACCTTGTCATTGTATCCTCACATGGCAGAATGAGAACTGGCTGCTTTTCTGGCCTCTTTTTATGAGGGCACTAATCCCATTCAGGAGGGTTCCACGCTTATGATCTAATTCCCTCTCAAAGGCCCCACCTCCAAAATACCATCACATTGGGATTATGGTTTCAATATGTGAATTTTGAGGGGACACAAACTTTCGATCCATAGCACCTAACAATATCTTTGTAAAGTCAATAGCTTCAATATCTCTATACGCTAATCTCATTGCTAAGTACTGTATTTCCATTATATCCTTGATTGTATACCGGAGGAAGTAAGGGTAGGAGTGAGGTTCAAAAGATTGCCCCAGGACACCCAGTTGGTCAGTGGCCGAAGGACATGGTTCCAAGTCTGACACTGCCATGTTCCCTCCACTCTTGTAACCATCTTTCCAAGTCAATCAATCTGCTGCAGCATGGGTCCTTATGGTGACTTAGCATTTACTGTAGGGATATAATAATTATATTACAGATTCGTATTTTATATACTTTGAGGTTGTTTTGTTTTTTTAACATCAAAAATTGTGGTGCACATTCTTTTTTTTAAATTAACTTTTAATGTATTATTTGTTTCAGGGGTACAGGTCTGTTATTCATCAGTCTTACACAATTCACAGCACTCACCATAGCACGTACTGTGATGCACATTCTTATACATTTGTGCTCTTGTCTAATTATGTCCTCAAGGTAGTTGGTGGGTAAAAAATTGGCAAGCTTTTGATTCAAATCGGCAATAGCAGTACTGAGTTTTTAGTAGTACAGTCTCTTACCTGACTGTTTTCCAAAAGAGTATTTCTGCCATTGTGCCAACAAAGAAAAACATGACTTAAAAAATATTCTTTGCATTTTGGTTAATTTTTCTTGAATTACAGAAAGAAAAAGATAGTAGCCTAGTCCTCTTTGGGCCTAGTCCTCAAGGCACTCTTCTGAAGTATGGAATTTAGTATGTACTCCAACTGAGGCAGATAAATAGAAGTGCGTGTAGCAAAACAGGCTGTTTATTATTTATTTGATATTTATATCCCAAACATATTTTTCTTTAATAGATCTGTATAAACTTTTTAATGTTTTGCCTAATCAAATTCTTTTTTAAAAAAAGATTTTATTTATTTGAGAGAGAGAGAGATCACAGAGGGAGAGGGAGAAGCAGACTTGCTACTGAGCAGCTACCCAGATGCCCCATAATCATCAAATTTTTAATGCTGATGGAACTCTATACTTAAAAGAACTTTTCTTACCAGCATCTCAACTGCATTCTTTCATCTTTAAGATCCTTGGGAAGGTGTTGGAGAACACAAATGAACTTGATCTACCTTGCTCTGGCAAAAACTGGATGGGAGGGACAAGGGATAGAATTATGCCTTTTCACTCGCAAAGATTTAGGAATTCCACTGTGTTCTTGGATCTGTCTCCTTTAGGCCAGGTGGATAGTTTCAGTCTTTCCAGAATGCTCTTTTGGGCTCTGATGAAAAGTCAAATTAACATTTAGTTTCGACACTGATAATACTCTAAGCGACAACATTCTGTCCACCGCACAAGCCAAGACTTATTATTTTTTTTTTGAAAAGTCAAGAGAGGGCATATTTTCTCACATGATATCCTTTAAAACCCTGTCATCTCACTGAATTTTTAAGGTTTGCCTTGTGCCTTTTAGATGTAAATCCTCTTAGGAATTAGAACACTTTTCAGAAATATATTTTTTTCCTGGAAATGTAATATTATAAAGAAAGCCGGGCTGTTGATTCCCTGAAGTGTTAGGCATCATCCCAGGCACAGAAGTTCAAATGCTTGTCTGCTGGCTTGGAGCCAGTGAACACAATGACGGGGAACACTGGAGGCTTTGAAAATGCCCCGTGGGGATGGATGCTGTTTAACAAGCAGGATGCCCGGGTTAGAGCCCCTGGGGCAAGTGGCCATCCTGGTTATTCCTTCCTAGGATAGCGACCAAACATCCTGGAGTCCTGAAAGTCAAAAGTGAGGATACACACGCCATTCCAGAAGCAACATTTCTTTTTTCCTAGATACACTCTTAGATAAGACACCTAACCCCTCTGGAACTTCAGTCCCTCATATGTAGAAGATGGGACTGAGGTATGTGATTGTAAAGGCACTTTCAACAATAAAACTGGACAACTTTATGTTTTAGTCTTTCAATTTAAAAATGAAGAATAAGCCAGTCTTCTAAAAACAATACCATATATTGCTGCTGGAAAGATGTCAATATGATAAGCGACCTCCACTCAACTACTACAGATTTTTTCTTTCTCTTCCTACCCCCAGCCACTACACATACGCACGGACACACGCACCAACACACGCCTCTCATTAACTATTTAAAATATCTTCAGGGGTGCCTGGGTGGCTCAGTCGTCAAGCGTCTGCCTTCGGCTCTGGTTGTGGTCCCAGGGTCCTGGGATCCAGCCCCGCATCTCCCTCTCCCGCTGTGTCTTTCTCTGTCAGATAAATTAAAAATAAATAAAATATATTTAAATTTATCCTAGTAAGTCAAGTGTTAGAATAGAAAGGGATATCAGGAGATAGAAGGGAGAGATGCCTTTTGCCTGGCATTTGAGTTGGGGTTTATAAGACACTCTGTGTCTTCTCTCCTCTGATCTTACTCTTACCTCTTTTCCAAGCTCCCTTCTTTCTGCATTTAAAAGCTCCGACATGTTAGCTGAGAGTCTTAACTAAGAAAAAGTGGCTGGTATTGAGCCAAATCTTCCACAGCGTTTTTCCATGAGGAGAGCTTTTGCTTTTCGCCTAACTTGACCACGGTCTTCGTCAATAGTGTAGAATTAAAGAGAACTTTGCTTTCTGCTGTCAAGGCTCTTCTGGAAACATCAAAAAATAAAGTCTCAGCTGCTGGTACTTGGGCCAATTCTAACAGGTCCAGGTTTTTTTTTCTCATCTCCTGCTGGTTGGGGAAAAAGTGATGGGAATAACAATGGAAGCTTTGTTTTAACCTCAAAAGTCTCAGTTAAGTAAAACTCATGTCTTATGTAAAAAAATCCTTATTTAAAAAAAAAACCCTGAAAGATTAGGGTGAACTGTCATCTATCTATAATTCATATTAAAATGCTTCAGAAAAAATATAGAAGCACTTAAATGCGGCAGATTGTTAATGTAGGTGGTGGGTCCATGGTGTTTGTCATGCTAGGTCTTCTTTTCTGTATGGCTAAGAATTTTCATTTATTTCACACACATTTCAAAATTTCATTCTTATCCTCTCAAAAATTAATTAAAAAATTAACTCTATTTTTATAAATAAGGAACCAAAGTGTATTGAATTAATTCAGTATCCTCTCCCGCATGCTGACTTGCTGGTTCTTCGAAATGGTAAAGTAGATAAAACCTCTTTGCCTTATTACCTGCTCCACCCACTTACTTGATCCAAGAGAAATGATCACTGACAAAACAAGCTTAATTTTATGGAGGCCCTGACTGGAAGTTGGAAGGCTAATTCATTGGGGAGAAAAAGAGAAACTTCTCTTTATTTATCTTGTTCTCTCCAACTAATTGGAACACACCTGCTTTTTGGGAGAGAAACAGCGGGGGGTGGGGGTGAGGAGGCGGGGCAGCAAGATGAGGCCTCATGGGGATTTTTCACTTGCTTAGAAGAAAATGAAATTACCGTTTCTCAAACAAAAGACACCCAGTTGTACATTTAAAAAATAATATTGATGACCAAAGAAACTTGGTGTATGAGTCAGAATTTGAGAGGAAGTTGTGGGTTACTTAAAAACTGGTTTTAGGGCCTATGCATCTTTTTTCCATTCACACATTATCTTAATGTTTCCCAGCTGAGTAGAGGATTGTCCTGTAAACCAATGCTTCTCAGGCTAACGGGCATCTGAATTAACAGAGGATCGTGTTAAAACGCAGATGCTGATGGAGTAGGTCTGAGGTGGGGCTGAGATTCTGCATTGCTAACCAACTACCCAGTGGTGGTGATGCTGCTGATCCGTGGACCACTCCGAATTAGCACAGCAATAATCGAATGTTTTTTTAATTCATTTCTGCTACTGAAATAACAGGTGGCAGGAGGAAGTTAGTTCATCTGACTTTCTCTTACCATATGAAATTTGAATACTAGAATAAGGCCATCAGTTGTCAGTGGGTGCAATATTGCCCCCAAGGCGGAGGAAATTATTTTGTTGGAGGTAAAAAAGCTTAAACAGATATATAGTACACTTGACCCTTGAACGGCAGGGGTTTGAAGTGCGCAAGTCCACTTATACGTGGATTTTTTTGATAAATACAGTACTGTAAATGTATTCTCTCTTCCTTATGGTTTTCCTAATGACGTTTTCTTTTCTCTAGCTTACCTCATTGTAAGAATACAATATATAATACATGTAACATATAAACTATGTGTTAATATACTGTTCATGTTATCCATAAGGCTTCTGGTCAAAAGCAGGCTATTAGGAGTTAAGTTTTGGGGGGAATCAAAAGTTACGTGCAGATTTTCGACTGTGTGGGGGGTTGGTGTTCCTAACCCCCACATTGTTCAAGGGTCAACTGTATATCAGTGACATTAAAATATCATGGTTGGGGGGTGTCTGGCTGGCTCAGTTGATAGAGCATGCCACTCTTTTTTTTTTTTTTAAGATTTTATTTATTTTTTGACAGACAGCGAGAGAGGGAACACAAGCAGGGGGAGTGGGAGAGGGAGAAGCAGGCTTCCCGCGGAGCAGGGAGCCCGATGCGGGGCTCGATCCTGGGACTCCAGGATCACGACCTGAGCCGAAGGCAGACGCTTAACCAACTGAGCCACCCAGGCATCCTTGTGATGGAAATTTTTTATTGTAGAAGATGCTGGGTTAAATTTTCCAGCTTGTCGAGCATCTAAATATTGTGGATTGCAAAGGAAAGGGATGAGAATAAATATAGAATGATTATCAGAGATGACTTATACCAACAGGAAAATTAACCTGAGTTGAATAAAAAACAATCTGATTACAAATAAGTGAGAGATTTACAAACTGGAATTGTAAATACACTCCCTTTTCCTGATGTTTTAAATGTTCACTACCTTCTAAATGCATTTCTTTATACTCTTATTTATGTGTAATTATTTTTCTAAGAATGAGGTAATGAGTCCCCTTAGCTCACACTTGATGCAGAGAATATTCTAATTAAAAACACATAATTCCATTTAACTATGGATATGTGCTAAACTACCTCCCATATCCAAATGGCTATGTGGCCAACCCACGGTGTAGCAGAGAGATCTAGTGCCTTCTGCTAGGTTAGGGAGCCCAGTGAAGGCACCTGTTGTCATCTCCATGTGAAATAAAATGAGAAATCATCCAGATCTGGGCCAGAACAAGTCCCACCCATGAGGGTCACAGTGTGAAGGTTACTCCCGATAACAAAAACCGACCTCCTTGAGCGTACCCATTAATGAGCTGAATGCCAATGCTTTAATTGTCCCCAAGTGCTACACGGTATTATAATTACTCCAATTTTTAATGATTAATTAGAAACGTGAGGTGCAAATAAGCTAATACAAGTCAAGGGTTAAGAAGTGGAGAGCAGGGATTTGAACAAAGGCAGCTTAGCTCTGGAGCTGTGCTCTCACTGGCGGTTCATGCTGGTTGTATGCAACTAATTTGGGGGTGGTTTTAGGTGATCAGGACTCAACTGGCCTCCTCTAGGGCATGTCAAGGTTGACGGTAAGAGGCAGGAAAGTGTGATGCCCAAGGGACTGGGAATAAGGTATCCTGTCAAAAGGCCAACCAGACTAGTTGGGAATTTTTAAAAAACGGCTTTACTGGGGCGGCTGGGTGGCTCAGATGGTTAAGCCTCTGCCTTCGGCTCAGGTCATGATCCCAGGGTCCTGGGATCGAGCCCCACATCGGGCTCTCTGCTCCACGGGAGGCCTGCTTCTCCCTTTCCCACTCCCCCTGCTTGTGTTCCCTCTCTCGCTGTGTCTCTCTCTGACAAATAAATAAATAGAATCTTAAAAAAAAAGATATTAGTCAAATGCTATACAATTCACCCATTTAAAGCATAAATTCAGTGTTGTTTAGTATATTTACGGGGATGTGAAACCATCACCACATCTTTTTTTTTAAAGATTTATTTATTTATTTTAGAGAGAACGAGCAAGTGGGGGGGAGGGACAGAGGCAGAGAGAGAATCCCAACCAGATTCCAAGGCACAGGGCTCTATCCCAGGACCCTGAGATCATGACCTGAGCCAAAATCAAGATTTGGCCACTTAACCAACTGAGCCACCCAGGCGCCCCAACCATCACCATATCTAATTTTAGAACATTTTAGTCTCTCCTAAAAGAAACTTAGTATCCGTTAGCATTCACCCCCAACTCTCAACCCCCTTTCCCCAGTCCTAATTAACCACTAACCTACTTTCAGTCTCTATATAGTTTCCTATTCTGAACACTTAATATAAATTGAACCATACACTATGTGATCTTTCGTGATGGGCTTCTTTCATTTAGCATAATGTTTTCTGGACTCATCCGTTGTGGTAGCATGTATCAGTACTTTATTCCTTTTCACTGGTGAATAATATTCTGTTGTATGGATTCACTACATTTTGTTTTTCATCCATTAGTTGATGGACATTTGGGTCGTTTCCACCTTTTGGCTATTATGACTGATGTTGCTATGAATATTCAGGTACGATTTTTGGTGTGGATGTATGTTTTCATTTCTCTTGGTGTATGCCTGAGAGTTGAATTGCTAGGTTACATGATAACTGTACGCTCAACATTTTGAGGAACTGCCAGACTGTTTTCCAAAGCAGCCGTACCGCTTGACATTCCCACCAGCAGTGTGTAGGTTATGGTGTCTCCATACCCTCCTCAGCTCTTGTCAAAACTGCCTTTTTAATTAAAGCCAACCTAATGGGTGTGAAGTAGTATCTCATTTGGTTTAGACGTGCATTTCGCTGATGGTTAATGATGTTGAGCATCTTCTCCTTGCTTTTCATGCCTGCTGGTTATTTTGTGTATCTTCTTTGATAAATGTCTATTCAAATGTTTTGCCCACTTTTAATTTAGATTAGTTGCCCCATTTTTGTTATTGGGTTGTGTTTTTTTAATATATTCTGGATACAAATTTCTTGTCAGGTATGTGATTTACAAATTTCTTTTTCCCATTCTGTGGAAATCTGTTCACTTTCTTGATGATTTGTGCACAAAGTATGATGTAGTACAATTTATTTTTTCTTTTTTTACTTATGCTTTTTTTTTTTTTTTACATCTAAGAAACCACTGCTTTAACTCAAGGTCAAAATGATTTAGTCCTGTTTTCTTCTAAGAGTTTTCTAGTTTTAGCTCTTTCATTTAGATTTGTAATTCACTTTGAATTAACTTTTTGTATATGTTGTGAGGTAGTCATATAACTTTTGTGTATGTTGTCTGGTATGGGAGATATATCTTGGTAAATAAATTCCATTCTCTGCATGTGGATATCCGGTTGTCCCAGCACCATTTATTGAAAATATTATTCTCGGGCGCCTGGGTGGCTCAGTTGGTTAAGCGACTGCCTTCAGCTCAGGTCATGATCCTGGAGTCCCTGGATTGAGTCCCGCATCGGGCTCCCTGCTAGGCGGGGAGCCTGCTTCTCCCTCTGACCCTCCCCCCTCTCATGTGCTCTCTCTCATTCTCTCTCTCAAATAAATAAATAAAATCAAAAAAAAAAAAAAGAAAATATTATTCTCTCCCTATTATGTCTTGATACATTTGTCAAAAATCAATTGTCCATAAATGTAAGGATTTATTTTTGGACTCTCAATTTTTCCACCATTCTATATATCCATCTGTAAGCCAGTGCCACATTGTCTTAATTACTGTAGCTTTGTAGTAAGTTTTGAAATCAGGAAGTATGAGTCTTCTAACTTTGTTCTTCTTTTTCAAGATTGTTTTGTTATTCTGGGTTCTTTGCAATTCTGTATGAATTTTACAATCATCTTGTCAATTTCTTCAAAAGCCAGCTGGGATTTTGATAGGGATTATACTGCATCTACAAATCAAGTTGGGGAGTATTACCATCCTGACAATATTAAGTCTTTTGGTCCACGAACATAGGATATCTTCCCATTTTTTAAGGTCTTTAATTACTTTCAGTGATGTTTTATAGTTTTCAGTGAACAAGTCTTGCACTTCTTTTACTCAGTTTATACCTAAGTGATTTATTCTTTTTGATGCTATTGTAAATGGGATGGGATTGTTTTCTTAATTTTATTTTCAGAATTTTCAGTGCTAGTCTATAGGAATAGAAACTGATTTTTTATATTGATCTTGTATCCTGCAACCTTCTTGTACTTTATTAGTTCCAATACTTTTTTAGTGGATTCCTTAGGATTTTCTATGTACAATATCATGTCATCTGCAAATATATTTTTGCTGCTTCTTTTTCAATCCAGATGCTTTTCTTTCTCCCTTCCTTCCTTCCTTTTTTTGAGGTGGGGGGAATGCTTCATGAATTTGTGTGTCATCCTTATTCAGGGGCCATGCTAATCTTCTCTGTGTTGTTCCAATTTTAGTATATGTGCTGCTGAAGTGAGCACTTTTATTTCTTTTTCTTGCCTAATTGTCTTGGATATGACTTCCAGTATGATGTTAAACAGAAGTGAAAGAGTGAACATTCTTTTCTTTCTTGTTCCTGATTTAAGAGAAAGTATTCAGTCTTTCACCATCGTGTATGATGTTAGATGTGGATGGTTGAGCAAGTTCACTTCTATTCCTGGTTTGTTGAGTGTTTTGATCAAGAAAGGATGTTGGATTTTATCAAGAAAGGATGCCTTTTCTGCATCTGTTGAGATTATTATGTGTTTTTTTTGTCATTTATTATATATAGTGTATTACATTGATTGATATTCATATATTACACCACCCTTGAATTTCTGGGATAAATCCCATTTGGTCCTGGTATGTAATCTTTTTATATATTGTTGGATTCAGTTTGCTAGTATTTTGTTGAAGATTGTTTGCATCTATATTCATATGGGATTTTGGTCTGTGGTTTTATTTTTCCTTGTGATGTATTTTTCTGGTTTTGGTATCAGAATAATTCTGGCCTCATAAAATGAACTAAAAAGTGTTCCTGCCTCTCCTATATTTTGGAAGAGTTTGCAAAGAATTAGTATTAATTTTCCTTCAAATATTTGGTAGACTTCACCAGTAAAGTTATCTGAACTTGGTCTTTTATTTGTAGGAAATTTTTTAAATTACTAATTTTATCTCTTTACTTGTTATAGGCCTATTCAGATTTTTGATTTTTTTCTTGAGTCAGTTTTGGTAGTTTGTGTCTTTCTAGGAATTGGTCCATTTCATCTAAGTTACCTGATTTGTTGGCATATAGTTGTTCATAACTTTCCTTATAATCTATTTTATTACTATAAGGTTGGTAGTAATGTTCCCTCTTTTATTCCTGATTTTAGTAATTTGTGTTTTCTCTCTTTTTTCTTGGTCAGTTTAGCTAACCAAGAAAAAATTTATATTTTCAAATAACTGACTTTTGGTTCATTGACTTTCTCTATTGTTTTTCTGTTCTCTATTTCACTGATCTCTGCTCTAATCTTTATTATTTCCTACCTTTTGCTAGCTTTGGTCTTCTTATTCTAGTTCCTTATGGTATAATGTTAGCTATTGCTTTGAAAATCTTTTTTAATTAAGGCATTTATAGATATACATTTAGGAAGGAATATAGACTTCTTTTTTTTTTTTTTTTTGCACAAATAAGATCTAATAGTTTGATAAAAACTTACCAGTGAGATTTAATTATAATTTTACTTGGATGCCTTTGCTTGCCTTCTGCTTCTGTGGCAAGAAAACAACCAAAACACACAAGTTAAATACAGAAACTCTAGGGAGCTTTTGTTTTAGTAATGAAAATTATTCAGAGTCCCTATGATTTTTAATTTTGAAGGGTAATTTATTTGATGACAATTGTGAACCATTCTCAAACCTGTCACATGTAGTAAGTCTGCAGTCTGAGAAATTGTTACTGGCATTTGCAAGCATTGCAGAAATTTAATAAACTGTCGCCAAACCATTTGCTTGTTTGAATGCCAAGGTTTCCTTCCCCACATCACATGCAGCGTCCTGCTGCCAACAGTTATCAAAATACTCCCACAGTTGCCACAGAGAGAACTGTTCAGGGAGTTTCTGTTTCTTTATTCTTGTTGTTCCTATATTTCATTGCCTTTGCCACTTCTTGGGGATTTATTGAATAACCTGAACAGTATATGGAGCAGTTGAGTCTTAAAGAATGGATTGAGAAACTAAGAATATCTGAGATCCAGGTATAGAAATATAGAGATATATAGTGCAGCGAGATTGGGAAGGATGACTCATGCTTTACTCTCTATGTGTTTGCAGTTTTATAGAGAGACTATGTTGTTTGTGTAACGTAAAACAGCAATAAAAAATGTAAAACCATTTGAAATGGAATCTAGAGGAAAACACGAAGTCAAGTCTGGAGAGATCAACTCATTGCTATTGAAGATATACAGTAAGGTGGTATATGCTTTTATAATAGGATTGAGAGATATAATCCAGCCCTTTGAAATAAAGATTGTCAAGAAATTACTGGCTCTGAGTTTGCATTTTCTGTGATGACGCCAACAGATAAATGCCAGGTCAAGTTAAAAAGGCTCTTGTATATGAAATGGGGAAAGTGGAAGGTTAGAGGGTGTGACCTTGGACCTCATTCACCAAGTCAAAGATGTATGAAAGTGTGGCCTTTTACCACTATGATAATATTTGCAACTGTCATCTGGAATAAACCTATCTCTGCTTTGTCTTGTTTAATGGCTTTGATGGACACTTTGGCAGCACCTATCAAAATTTCAAACGCATATACCCTTGACCAAGCAATTCTGTTGCTAGGAACCTCTTCTGAAGAAATACACCAGTGTACAGATTTTAGATAGACAGATGCTCATTGCAGCAAAATATTTTAAATATCCTAAGTGTACATGAAAGAGAGTATGGTTAAGTAAATTATGGTCCAGCTGTACCCAAGTCACAGGGCTAAGAAGTAGACATCTGGGATCTAACAGAGGCTTTCACTTCCTCCCAATACCACATTTCATAAGTTAGTCAGTGGGTGTGGGTTGCTTTTGGGTGTTCAGGATCCAGCTTGTGTGTTTTCCCAGAGCAGGTCAAGATTGGATGGTGGAGAGAGAAGGGAGGACGGGCCAGTGTCATAGTCAAGGAATAGTGAATTAGACAGGGAAAGTCAAGAGTTTAAAAGAACAATAAAAAGTGGGAAAAAAGAAGTTATGTATAATTAGGGAGAGGGATTCTGGAGGAAAGTATTTTGTTTCACCAAAAAAGCATCACCTTGGCCAATTTCATGAATTTTCACCCCACTCCCCATTTTCACTCACCATGAACCCTCATCCTAAAAGACTGTAAGTGAACTTGAGGGTACTCTTAAAGGTTTTCTCAGTCTCAAATAGGAGGGAGGACTGAAGGAGGAGCTTACTTCTGGAGAATATATCTGTCCCTTCTCATCAAAGAAAATCCGCATTAACATGTGTTTGAGGGATTAGTACATCTTTGAAATCCTAAGCAAATGGGAAGAGAATTCTTGCAGCGTTCACAGAACTATGAAATGAAGGGTTTGGTGTGGCTGCAGCAGGGTGGGATGATTCAGAGCATTTTAAGGAGTGCATGCCAATTTCAGGAGTCCTGGCATTTTCCACATGCCCTGGTGTTTCCAGTAATCCCAGATGCTACACTAGCATTCTGTACGACCTTGAGCCAAATACTAGTCTTTCTGTGAGTCATCTTCTCTCTCTAGTAAATGAGGTGGCTGGAATAAATGATCCATACTCTCCCTTCAACTTGTGATTTAATTTATAGTTTTCAAGGCTTACTGAATCATTAGTGTTTTAAATAAACATTACTTGGTCTTTATTAATGAAGCTTAGAAACAAAAATTTTACTTTCCTAACACAATTCTTACACATGCACACATGTGCAAACACACACACACGCATTACATTTGTAAAATGAGATGGAAAATATTACCTAAGAAGAAACTCTATACTTTGGTGATCTGTATGCTTGGTTCTCTCTTCTTTACTAATAAGAAAGAACTGATAATATTTTCTTGTGGTGAAAGGAAGAATGGAATAGTTTAAAGGAGGAATGCTAGCAGGAGTGGACTCTATGTATATTAAAATTTTTTTTTTTTATTTTTAAGTAATCTCTACACCCAGCAATCTCTACACCCAGCTTGAATTTGCAACCCCGAGATCAAGAGTTGCATGCTCCACTGACTGAGCCAGCCAGATGCTCCTATATGTACATTTTTTTAATCTTTATTTTTTTAAAAGATTTATTTATTAGAGAGAGAGCACTCATGAACATGAGTGGGGGAGGGGCAGAGGGAAAAGAAGAAGCAGACTTCCTTGCTGTGCAGGGAGCCCGATGCGGGGCTTGATCCCAGGACCCTGAGATCATGACCTGAGCCAAAAGCAGATGCTTAACTGACTGAGCCACCCTGGTGCCCCATCTATATGTACATTTTTATATTCAATTGCATTTCATTTCTCTAGAAGCCCACGGAAACACACACACACACACCCACACACAGACACACTCCACTGCTACCTTAGCCTGTTAAGGAGTTAGTAAGGATTGATGTTGAAGTGAAGGTACCATTTTGCCCCATGGTATCACACTAATAGAAAAGGCTTGGATTGCACCTGCTTTTTCCTCTGTTCTTATAATCTTAGGAGTTGTGTGTTTGTCTGTACCTTTCAAGCCAGGTGGAAGTGGAGGGTATGGAGATCATTGATAGAAATGTGTGTGTGTGTGTGTTTATTACATAGTAAATGTAAAATGCATAGCAAGTGCTTCTTTAATTATTTGATTTCTTAAAGATGGCTTATTTCAAATGCTTCATAGACCTCCACCTATGAGGGTGGGGGGGGTCATGACCAAGAGCCCCTGCTTTTGAACTCTGAAATCCACCCTGTTTGCTCTGAGGGCACACCTCCCACCCACTGTTCCCAGCCGGAGACTGAGTCTGGCAGGCTGGGAATATCTGGGATCTTTCTAGTTCTGGACTTGGGCTCAAGGACTGTGCCCCCTCCTTTCGTGGTGTTGACCAGCTTCCCTAGCCTGCTCTGGCAGTCAGGAATGCCTCCAGGCTCTCTTCCTCCTCTACTTCATGTGGAGCCAGCCTTCTCCTCTTCTCTCACTGGAAGAAAATTCTTGCATATTTAATTCTGTTTTGGCATCTGCTCCTCAGGAGTACCAGACTAACACATTCAAGCTGATGAAAAGCACAGTTTTGCAAGGCAAAGAACTATGTGTTTCGTATGCTGCATTTGGAAACATAAAGGAGGAGGACAGGGAGTTTATCTATTTGGGTTAGCTGATAGAGGCACCCGGAACTCTCAAGAATGCACAAGAAATTAATAACAGTGGTATCCCGTGTGAGGTTTTGGGAAGAATGAATGGGGACCAAGAGCTGGGAGCAAAACTTTTCAAAGTATGCCCTATAATATATATTTCCTTGATTTTCCAAGCAAGTAAATGTATAATAATTTGAAAATGTAAAATCAAATATTTGGATTAAAAAAACCCCAAACAATGAATTGGAGAGAAAAACAAAGGATATGCTTTGGAGATGGATCTGAGTTTGAGTCCCCACTCAGCTGGTGATCATGGAAGAATAACGGATCTTGGGAGGGTCACCAGGCTATTGGATTCTAGATGTTAGTGAGTTGCTTTTCTCCTTGAATTCTATAACCTCATTTACTGGCTCCCAAGAAGGCATACGCTGCCCGCCCGGTTGCCACTGGGCTTGGCCACTGGACTTGCTAGGGCTAGGGGACAGTGAGGCCACGAGCTGGTGAGTCTGAGAAGCTTTCAAGAACCAGTGCACTGAGCAGAACTTGCTCTCCCTTCCTTCTGCGAGGGAACCACAAGTCTCAAGCTGGTGGGGGTGGGGGTGGGCGCGGCAGGAGGGGAAAAGGGTAGGGGGGCGGGCAGAGGGCTGCTTTCGACAGCTTGGATTCTGGAATAAAGTTGCTGAGCCACAACTGTCCTGTAGCTGCCATCCCCTGATGTGCCATGTGAGCAAAACAAACTTCTGTGGTTGAAAACCACTGTGGTTATTCCCTCAATTTTTTATTTTGAAAATTTTCAGAATAATATTGAAAGGGTAGTACCATTGACACCTTGCTTAGCTTCCCTGGTTGTTAACATTTTGCCACAATTTGCTAAATTTGTCTTGCTCCCACTCTAGATATAAAGCCCTTGATTTTTACTGAGCCATTAGAATTATAGGCATGATGATGCTGTACCCCTAAATCTTTCCACATTGTATCCTAAGAACATGGACTTTCTCCTGCATGACCATAATTCTGTCATCAGGTCCAAGAAACACAGCAGTGTTACAATGCTATTATTTACCATACAGTTCATATTCAAGTTTGTCATAATAATATCCTTGGAATTTTTTTTTTCTTTCTGATCCAAAACCCAAGTGAGGATCATACATGGCTACTTGTCATCTCTCTCTTTCGTCTCCTTTAATTTAGAACAGTTCCTGAACTGTTTTGGTTCCTCTTTCATGAAACTGAAGTTTTTGAAGCGCTTAGGCCAGTTGTTTTGTGGAATTTCCTGGATATATCTGATTTCTCTTCCTCATGATTCTTTCGATTTAGGTTAAACAGTTATGGTAGGAATACTACACATGTCACACTGTTTATATCACAACCAGGAGACACAAATAATGTCAGATTGTCCCACTTGAGGTGATGATAAATTTTGACCACTTTGTTAAAGTAGTGTCCACCAGATTTCTCCAATGACGTTTCCTTTATCCCTCTGTGGAGATAATCTGTGGGGTGATACTTAGATCCTTGGGGAATATCCTGATTCCCAACAAATTTTCCCCACTGCTTTTAGCATCCATAGGTGATCCCCTTCTGAATCAATTATTGCATGGGTAGTTGCAGAGTGGTGATTTTTTCCCCATTCCATTATTCTATTATGTGGATTTTGTAAGAAAACTTCCTCTCTGCTCCCATTTATTTTTGAGTATCACTATGGACTCATGGACTTTTTTTTTTTTTTAACATATATAATGTTATAATCCTTCCTCATTATCCTTTTTGTTGTTTAAACTGTCCTGAATTTGTACAATGGGAGGTCTTGTCAAGCTGGATCCTGCATCCTTTTAACATGCTTCTGCCTGTCTTTTGAGAATTTTCTTGTTTTCTGGCACAGTAAGATGTTCTAGGCTGACCTTTGATATTTACTGCCACTTACCTGACGATTCTTTTTGTTTGGGAGAGAGACTCAAGAGAGTGAGACTAAGATTTGGGGAGAAAGCTGATAAAGGAGGCCAGAAAGGAGATTTAGCATAAGGAAATATTTTGAGGGAATTCTTGACCAAAGATCTACTTTGGGTAGGTCTCTCAGGTTCTCCAAACCTGAATTTCCTCATCTGGAAAATAAAGATTATTATGCCTATTGAATGAGTAGGTTTGCAAAAATTAATAAACCTGATTGATTGGCATATGTTCAACATTTGTTGGACATTACCATTACTAACATCCTTCCAACTAAGTTAATTTCTGTGATACTTTGGACTTCCAATTACTGCTCCCACTGTGATTGATTTATGATTAAACTTGCTTAAATTTATGTTCTGAGGCTTTGGTTCAATATTGCTCTAAAATGTTCTGAAGGCAACTAGATGGGGTTAAAATCTAAAAGACTGATGAACAAAGATCTTTTGAGGGAGTAAGTGTATGCAAATTTAAGGAGTATGCAAAACACACACACACATCCCACACAGATGTATATGTGTATTTCATGGTTTGAAATAGGATTTTAAATGAGAAATGGCCTAGAAAAACTTGACCGGCTTTAAGTCCAAGATCGGCTGCTTATTTAACGTTTCTCATTTTAAAAGTGAAGGAATGACACTTCCTGAGCAATTGTGAATATAAAATTCAGAACAAGGAGACACATGTATGGAGGCAGGGAGTCTTTTGTTTTTCTTCAAGTTTTATAATTGACACACAACACTGTTTAAGGTGTACAAGCACAAAGACCTGAAATACATGCACAAAGACTTGAAATACATGCATATTGCACAAGGATTACCACAGTAAATTAGTATCTGTTGCTTCACAGAGATTATGATGAGAACTTTGAGGATTTATATTTTTAGCAACTTTCAAATATACCATATTGTTACTTATAGTCATCATGTTGGACATTACCTCTCCAGTACTGATTTATCTTAAAGCTGGAAGTCTACTTCCTGACCACATTTCACCCAATTCCCCAAGGGAAGGCCTGGGGCGGGGGGAACAATGCCTGGTTCCCATCATTTGTTCTCTAGCCAGTGCCGCCCCCTGGTGGCACTGTGTTCCCATTGCAAGTCGGAGCGGAGGGGGAAAGGCCACGGGCTTAATTTGTAAACTTAACGGCTCAAGTAAAGCCACAGCATTCGACAACTTTGAATAAAAATCATTATCCCACTTCACCTAGGTTATGCTTCCTTCGATAGAAATAACATGCTGTTCTGGCAAAGGAGTTAGACGCTGCGCTGGAACTTCCCTCAAAGGCAGTCAATCATTCAGCACATTCTATTGAGTGCCTACTGTGTGCAATGCACTGCTCTGGCCCCTTGGGATAAGAGACAAAAATTCCACCCCAGTGAGATAGGGAAACTGAAGGACTCCATAAAAATCTGCTTTCTGCTCCCTTTCCTGCTTCTGTTCTTGCTAGGACCTGCACCCCCACTTTACACATGCCTTATAATACAAATAGTGTGTGTCCTCTTTGTAAGGGACAAGGAGTGAATGATTTCTTTAGAATAGGTAACATCTATTCTATTCTATTCTATTCTATTCTATTCTATTCTATTCTATTCTATTCTATTCTATTCTATTCTGGTGAGAATGGCGAGGAAGCGATCGTATGGTATTCCAGACCACCAGAGCTAGACATCTGGACACCAAGACCACCCTGGCTCAAAGGAATAAGGCCTGAGCCCTCATCTTTGTTCTAACTGGTTCCTGGATGCCTACGAGGACACCACGTCCTCGATAAAAACTCCCAGGGCCCAAGCAAAGACGAGGCTCTCTCTTTTCCTTTCTGTCTGTACCTGCGCTCTCTCTAGACCTTCAACAAACTTTGCTTTCCCCTCCTGCTGGCTCGTGTTTGATTTCCATCCTGCACACAGCCAGGGATCCTCTCAAGAGGCTGGTCCTGCGGTACCCGCTCTCTCTGGGTCCCTAGATCGGCCTGCCAGCAATTTAATTTCTAAAGAGCTCTATGGCTTATAGAGTTCTCTTCAGTGGCCCAATAAATGGAGAACCCTGGCACAGGCCCCTCCGCCCACCTAAGAACTCACCCTTGCAAAACGGAGAGTTAAGATGTCATCAGCGTGACCGGCGGGCTGACCACGAAAGCAAGAGTCAACGGAAGTCGTCTTTCCCGTTTTTCTCCCCAGAAATATTCTTTGCGGGAAGCAAGGGTTTCGCCCAGCTCTTTGGGCTCGAACCCACGGAGGCAAGCGGGTGATGGAGACTGCCGGACTGTGCGACTCCAAAGAGGAAGTGTGTTTCCCTGCGGAGCCCCCGGGGGTGGCGGACGGGTCACCCTCCGCGCCCCTGGAACGTACCCCAGCTCCGGACGCCGGACCTCCCACCACTAATCTTCATCGAGGCGCAAACGCGCCCCCTAGTGGCGGCGGGCGGCCCGAGCGTCGGGACCGGAACAAAACTGTTCCACGGAACGCAGGGTGCGTGCTCAGAGTTTCCGGGGAGGAGGGCAGGAGAGGACCTGCGCGAGGCGGTTCCTACGGCGGCGAAGGAGGCAATGGCCCTGGGGATGAGGGGGCTGCGCCTCTGGCAGGCCGCCCCAGGTGGCCCGGCTGGCTGGAGTGAGTTTCAGCGGCGGTGGGGACGGAGAGCGAGGCTTGAAGGGTTATCTGCTCAGATGGGGCCTGAGGCGGGTCCTGGGAGGTCCCACGGGCTTGAGGGCAGAGGAGGGTCTTTCGGTCCCGGCTGTGGCGGCCGCCCCTCCCGGCCTGAGGGTCCAAACCTGGGGGTGCAGGGGGCACGGGGCCGCGGGGGGAGCTCAGGGCCCCCCTGGGGAGGAGCCCGCGTCCCGGTGCAAACATGTCCTTATTTTCCCGTTGGAGTACTCGTACTGGCTTTGTCAAATCCTCTCTGATTTAGGGTTTGGAAAATAAGCTCGGTATTTCTCGCTTTAGGTATTTATCGTTTTGGCGAGGGAGCTCCAGTCCCCTGGAGCTTTCTTGTCCTCAAGATCTTACAAAGCGACAGCTTTGTTCACCTTCCCAGTGACTGGTCTGACTTTGACTACTTCCTGGCTACTTTTTGCCTCTTGTTGTAAAGCACAGACTGGAATACGACAGAAAATCGGTGGGCAGTACAGATCTGATGGGGAAAGAGCAAAGTTGAAAGGTGTGGATCTGGGCTGGCTGCGGTTTTCTTCCGTTGGCGTTTTAATTAATCTTAGAAGGCGGTTTAAGTGGATCGCCGAGCGCATTTTGGCCAACGGCGTTTTACAGTTCTGTTGCCTCCCATTCTTTCCTCGTAGGAGGCTGGTGCGGGCTGGGGTATGCATTCTTCCACCGTTGATATTTCTTGTCACTTCCACCCAGGATTGATAGCAACATCGCCAGCTTCTCGGCTGTCACAGACAGAACTGATAGTGATGCAGAATGATCTCTTTAATAAAGAAAAGAACAGGCAGTTATCATTAACTCCTCGCACTGAGAAGATCGAAGTTAAACACGTTGGGAAAACCGACCCTGGCACGGTCTTTGTGATGAATAAAAACATTTCAACTCCCTATAATTGTGCTCTGCGTAAGTAGCAAATCAGGATCCAGTTTTGACTATTTCACATGAGCTGTGCGGAAGGACTGGCTCAGAGGAGGCAAGATTTGGTCATTGCTCCCTGAACTTAGAGAAGTTCTCCTTTATAGAGCTTCTTACTCTCTGTTCACTGTCTTTAACCCTTGAGGGTCCTGTGGGTCTTGAAACACTGGTCCTGTCATGCACAGGTTGTCCCGGGACTTGTTGAATCGGGCTGGGTTTGGGGTGCTGTAACTGTTCAGGCGCAAGGAGGCGGAGGTGTTACTGGTGCTCTTGCCGGTTTAGACAGCACTCTGGGGTGATGGTTCTCAGCAGAGGAATTTTGGGTAGAGGGACTGCCCTGGCTTCGGATGACCAGCTTTTTTGGCCGCCTTTTCCTTTCTAGCTCTTTATGGCCTACCTTCAATCTTATCTGCTTACCACTTGCCTCCTTGTGTGTTTGGTTTTTGTTCATACTCACGTGTGTGTAGTAAATGTGTAAGTGGAAATGTGCATGGGGTGAATGGGATGAGGGTCCAAGTATGTGTTGTGTTCATATTTTAAAGGAGGTAACTGTGCCCTCTGTGTGATTCGCTGTGTGAATGAAGGAAACAGGGCCTCTCTATAGATTATTTTTGATCAAAATGCTTTTAAAGTAGCTTTGATAGAACTGGTAATATTGAAATTTAGAAAGCTTCCAAAATAGATCTATACACCAGCATGCTCACTCATATATGTGACTAGCTGCATCGTTTAAACTTTTGGAAAACTCAGTAATGATTCCATTTAAGTAATTAACAATTTTAGTTAAAAGCTTAAGCTAGTGTATTACTCTGGATCTTCCTTTCCTTGGGCACTTGAAGTAGTACTTATGATCATTGTTTACTTGTTTTGTGAACATTTCTTTGCTGTGTGTTGGGCATTAGGATTACAGAGGAAGTTAAGACAAAGCACAGGTCCTTAAGGAGTTTTATACGTTTCACATGTAGAGATGAAGCCTGTGAGCACCCTCAGCACGACTCCTGTGCTGACACTTGTCATTCACACCTCTGATCGTTCCGTGCACTTTTGAGTACGTACTGTGCTGCAGGTGTGGTACTAGGTTCTGGATATACGAATGAGTGAGCAAAAACAGACCTGATCCCCTCTGTATGGAACTTACTCAGACCCTGTGCCTGTGCTTTGACCACTTCTGTGAGTAGCTGTGTCCTTGAAAAACATCTCATCAGGGTTGGAGTTGCACTTGCCTTCTGGTCAAAGAACAGACCAGAGCTGATTGGCTTATATGTGAATTCATACTGATAATTAAAAACTGTTTCCGGTATTGGGATGCCTGGGTGGCTCAGTCGGTTAAGCGGCTGCCTTCAGCTCAGGTCATGACCCTGGGGTCTTGGGATCGAGCCCCACGTCCAGCTCCCTGCTCAGTGGGGAAGCCTGCTTCTCCCTCTCCCACTCCCCTTGCTTGTGTTCCCTCTCTCGCTGTGTCTCTCTCTGTCAAATAAATAAATAAAATCTTAAAAAAAAACAAAAACAAAAAACTGTTTTCGGTATTTAACTTGAACAGGCCATGCTAGGGAAGTAAGAGGTGGTTTGGGAGCAAGACCCCAAACTCATTAGGACCAGATTTACTATGGATGTATATTTATATATTTTCTCTTTTAAGTTGTGTGTGCACATATCCAAATATATCCATGATGCTGCTCTCTTAATATTTAAGTGTAGCTCTTGGAAAATTGTTTTACTACTTAATAATTGACAGATTAATTTGAAATTAGACTTAGCCTTAATGATTTTTATAAATGGTTTGGGCAATTTTGTTAAGAATACATTGGATGTGTTGGGTATTATTTTTTTTATTAGTTATAGATGTAAGATGTAAGACTTTTTTCTCCTGAAGGAAGTCATTGCAGAATCTTGCTTTTCTGTTGTTCTATTTCTTAATGTAGCATTTAAACATGTAACTTTTCACTTTGGGTTTTGTTAGATTTAGACCTTCGATCTATTTTAAATTCCTAGATTTAAGTGAGTGGTACTGCAGGAAGTCCATTCTGGCTCTTGTGGACGGACAGCCTTGGGACATGTATAAACCTTTGACCAAATCCTGTGAAATTGAATTTCTTACTTTCAAAGATCGTGATCCAGGAGAAGTGAATAAGGTATTTCTGCCTCTATGTTCTTTTTCTCCCCCCTAGTTTTTCTTCTTCTTCTTTTTTTTTATTTATTAAAATCTGTTTGCTCCGGAGCCTGAAATGTGCAAATATGGCCAAGGTCAAATGTTGTAATGTACTAGATAATCAATGTTTTGTTTGTTAGATTAAGCATTTTCACAGTTCAAAAAAATCCTTGAACTTGTATTTTGGTTTTTTTTTTTTTTTAAAGATTTTATTTATTTATTTGAGAGAGAGAGAATGAGAGACAAAGAGCAGGAGGGTCAGAGGGAGAAGCAGACTCCCTGCTGAGCAGGGAGCCCGATGCGGGGCTCAGTCCCCGGACTCCAGGATCATGACCTGAGCCGAAGGCAGTAGCTTAACCAACTGAGCCACCCAGGCGCCCAAACTTGTATTTTGGTTTGAGAAAACTATATGACTTGTCTTTTATATTCATGTCTTTGTTCTACTAACATTTATTGATTACTCTCTATATTTCATTCCCTCTACTGCTTGAATTCAGCCTTTGATCATCATTGGATTATTTCGGTAACTTTTTAACTCTGCCTTCTGCCCCCATTTTTAATACTAAAGTCTTAATACTAGGAGTTTTATTAAGTGACATGACCAAGGATTGTGTCACTTTTTTCCCTACCTGGTAACTCTCAGGAATGACCTGAAAGTTATTCCCGTGCCTCTCCAGGCCCTGTGTGATCTGACAGCAGCTTGGCTTTCAAGCTTCACTTTCATGGGAGCTTTCCACTTCCTCTTTGTTCTGGCCACACTAGAGGACGTGGTCACTAATGGCTTAGGCTGTGTGAGCCTCCTGGCTTTTACTGATGTTCTCCTTCAACCCTGGGTGTTTTCTTTCCTCCCTGTTAAAATCCTGTTTCTCTTTTATAGTTCAGTTAAAGTGCTACCTGCTCTGTGGGATCTTGTCAGTTTCTTCTTGTCAGAATGAATCCCTCCTTTCTTTAGGGCTCATAGCACTTGGCTAATGTCTCTAGATACAACATTTTATATTTTATATTACATTTTAATATTGCCTTGCTATATGAACCGTTGAATGCATTGGATTCTTGGCTCTGTTAAGACAGGATGTCCGTTGTTGGACCTAGTCCTTGACTTACATGCAATAGGTATTCAATAAATACATGTTGAAATGAAACACTTAAGAAAATGATAGATATGATAATAATAGCTCACATCAAGGATTAATTATGTATCAGGCACTATCTTAGTTGATTTATAGGTATTAACTCATTTACTCTTCATAAAAATCCCATAAAAATGGATACTGTAATTCCCATTTTCCAGATAAATAAACGGAAGCAAAGAGAGGTTCAGCAGCTTGACCAAGCTTACCAGTTTAGGAAATAGTGGAGCCTGGATTTTAATCTAGGCATTCCGCCTCTGGAGTTCAACAGACATTAAAAACATTTAAGTAGGATAGATGAGGAGGTGCATTTTGCTACTTGCCTTCAAGGCCTGGGTCTGTAATTATTTTTAGTGTATGTTTATGTGGTTCTGTAGAATACATCCTGGAGCAGTTTCTGCTGCACACAACCAAGTGAGCCCACTTTTTTAGTCTCCAGATGTGGAGAAGAGCTTATGAAGGTCAAGTGCCCAGTTACAGTGGTGCCAGTATGGGACATAAGATGGGCAGGTCTGGTGCTGGACTTGTGTTTCTCTCTTCATGACTCTGATCAGGTCATTGCATGGATACCCATATTAGGCATGCCCATGGGTCAAATGTGCTGGTAAAATGAAAGCCCAATTAATAGTGAGGTTGCTTTGCTGTAAATATGAATAACTTGAGTGATTGCTATGTGATCTTAGGTAGAGGGTAGGAGTCATAAATTCTTAAAAGTTGAGTTTTTCCCTCTCTGTTATATGTGGTATAAACAGGTTTATAGTAATACATTTTTTTTTTTTTTAATTTTAGCACAAGTTTGTTAACAAGTTACCTTTATCTTGGGTTAAAGATAAAGTTGCTACCAGATAGTAAAACTGTCTATTGTTTGACAAACATTATAGTGTGTGATATCTTGCACAGAAACACCACTAACAGCACAAGTTGGTGCTTCATTCTTTTGTGCTTTTTGCTTGGGAGAGGTAATGTCATGGCCTCATGTTCACTATTGCTACATGCTGAGGATGGACAAATAGTTCCTAAGTCAAAAGTCAATCTAAATTTTAATACTGAAGAAACGTTAGTGAATCTTACTGTGTATTATGTTTGTGTGTATTTTATTTTTCTAGGCTTACTGGCGTTCTTGTGCCATGATGATGGGCTGTGTGATAGAGAGGGCATTCAAAGATGAATATGTGGTCAGTTTGGTCAGAGCTCCCGAAGTTCCTGGTAATGTACACACACACACACACACACACACACACACACATATTTTTGTAATCCTTGAGTAGTTTGGTACCTATTTTTGGTATTTTATAGAGCTTCTTTTTTTTTTGAGCTTATGTCTAATTTTATGTAATATAAATTACTGTCATATATATGTTCCTTTTATAATGGGTAACAAAATCCATCTTATTGAATTATTGGAGGTCAGTAATTACATAATGGAATTCGAGGAGAATGTTTCTCTTGAATATGAATTTCATGTAATTACATTGTCTCGGTGTCTGTTTCCTACCACTTTAAGCATGTATTTCTAAATCAAATGTGTGAAGGAGGAGGAAATGAGAGTATAAATAGAATTCTGGAGAAAGCTATGTTTAGGTGGCACCATTTCACCAGAAATGTCTATGACTCTGGAGAGGAACCATTTTGGGGAGATGGAAGAGTTCACACACACTCTTTGTAATTTTGGTAGAACTAGGATTTTGCATCAGTATGTACAGTAAGATCACATTTGTAATTTTTAAAAAAATATAGAAGTATATATACCAAAAATATTTAAAAAGCTCAATGAATGATTCTAAGAAGAGCAAAACAACAAAAATGAAGAAGCTTAGAAGACATTAAAAAAGAAATTCAACATTTTATGTCCATTTAGTCATTCATCTACATATTAAATATCTCATGCTTTTGGAATTTTTATGTCTAGTAACTATTTGAAATCTCTATAGTGATAATATTCTGGAAGCAAACATGAATGTTTAAAAACATACTAGTGATTTTGGGTTAACAAAAGGTGAGTTAGTTTTTTGGGTGGGGGAAAGTTGGTAGAACTCTGTCAAGAGCTGGGATAATGGTTCAGTTTTATAATTTGTAGAGTTGAGAGAGATTGCTGGCCCTTCATTTTATGGTCTAAATATTCCATTGTTGCCAATAAGTCCCTCTACCATAACAGATTTGACTTTGCCTTTCATTTTGGTTGGATTTACAGTAATCTGTGGAGCCTTCTGCTATGATGTAGTTCTGGATAAGCGACTTGATGAGTGGATGCCAACAAAAGTAAGTATAGTGTTTGGAATATTAATTTTAGAATCTGTGCCTTTCATTGTTAGAATGATTCCTACATTGTTGAGTGATACTGCATGTTGAGAATATTTAATTTAAAAGACCCTACTTACCTACCTACGTACCTACCTGTGTTGTTGCTTTTTCAGTGAATTCAAGATAGAGGCAGATAATGGGCATATTCACAATGTGGTCAGTTGTATGGAAGCTTTGTGTTCTGCTTGAAGTACTTTCTTCCTGGTACTGTTCATTCTATTTCTTAAGATAGTGGTTTTCAAGATGCCCAGAATATAAAATATAGAAGCTTAATCATCTTGGTTGATGTGGTGGTGCGAGCCTGGAGATTTACTTTCTTGGATCCTCTGAGCACAATTTGAAAACCACTGCCCTAAACCATTTTAGCCTGTTGCATACTGTGAGATCTCCCTATATACAAAGCTTACCTTGAGAGGAGGGATAGAGGGTAGAGGATAGAGTGAATTAAGAATCAGACTTTGACAAAGCTAACTCAAATAGCAACAAACTAGACTCTTGGTGAATGATCTGATTGTGTAGTAAGTGTTCTTCTTGTTGGTCTGGCAATTGGGTAACACCTGGCTAACAAGGAAGTTCTAGATCCGATGCCCTGTCAGGAGGGTGTGCTGATGACTTTCAAATGTCAAGCCTAGAAATTCAGTTATCACTGGGGAGAAGAGGCAAATGCCTGATTCTTAAGCAAAACTGTATGTCCTACAGATTGGAAGTCTGGAGATCAGAAAAGGAAAGGTGATGTACCATACCATTTTATCAATGCTACTGTGTACATTTTTTTTCACATTTTAATATCTCTGAAAAAAAATGTGTCTTACAGTAGATAGCATGTTATAATTGGTAGTGTTTTTTCCTTAGTGGTACATTTTCGATTTAGTGAAATATTGTAGTTCCTTATTGCAAAATTTTGGAGTCAGTACAGATCCAGGTTTAAATTCTGGTTTTGGAAGTTATTTCTTGTATAATCCTGCTCAAATTGCTTAATATCAGGAGAGAGGAGGGAAAGAGGAAGGAACAAAGAGAGAAAGGGAGAGAGGGGAGAGGGATGCAGGGAAGGTATGGGAACTTTTTCTTAGTGATCTCTGAACTCATGTCAGTATAAGTTCTTTTTCAGATATGCCCTCAGATTTAAGAAAGGATTCTCGCTTTGTTGGGGGAGTTAAGTAAAAACTAATAAGATCAAGATTCAGTTCTCATTATCTATGAAACTTGCTGCCTCCTTTTCCTTTTTTTAAATACAAAACTTTATTTTTTTTTTTTAAGATTTTATTTATTTCTTTGACAGAGAGAGAGAGACAGGAGAGAGGGAACACAAGCTGGGGGAGCGGGAGAGGGACAAGCAGGCTTCCGGCCGAGCAGGGAGCCCGATGCGGGGCTCGGTCCCAGGACCCCGGGATCATGACCTGAGCTGAAGGCAGACGCTTAACGACTGAGCCACCCAGGCGCCCTGAATACAAAACTTTAAATAAAAAAGAAATGTACTAGCTAATTGCGGGCACCATGGGGTTGGGTGGACCATTTAGAAAAAGTGGTGGAGAGTTACATTCAAGTAACAGTTGTATAAAATCATGAATGTGGATTTGTTATATAATAAATTGTCCCTTTAAGAATGGAGAAGAGTCATTTCATGCAAAAAAAATCTAATAGGGGGCGCCTGGGTGGCTCAGTTGGTTAAGCGACTGCCTTCGGCTCAGGTCATGATCCTGGAGTCCCGGGATCGAGTCCCGCATCGGGCTCCCTGCT